AAGGTCCCTCGGCCTCTGTGTGGCGTGTCAGGGAGCTGGGGGGGGTCAGGCCCAGGGCTGCAGGACTGACCCCAGCACAGTCACTGGGGATCTTGGGCTGAGCCTCTTCCATCGTAACCCATCATGCTGGCTCCCTGGTGGGAGCTGGGCCACTGGTTAGGTGGATGGAGACTTTTCAGGCAAAGCTTGATGCTTGGAGGGTCAAGTGTGCAAGAGCCAGCTCCACACGGGACCTCAGAGGTGGCTCAGTCCATCCTCCCGATGGAGACCCCATCCCTCCTGCAGCCCGCCCACGTGGGGCTCAGCCCCTCGGAGAACCGACAGCTAGCTGGCTTTAGAGCTTCTCTTTACTGGGAATACAAGCCGGCCTCCCTGTGACCGCCCGTCAGCTACCTCTGCCATCCAAGAATAAATAACCAGCATGTTGTGTTGAGTGCTAACTGTAGTTACACCGGGCCTTCGCTTATTGGTGTTTCTTCAGCAACAACCCTGTGAAGTAGGGTTATCATCCCCTCAGAAGCACAGAGAGGTTAAGCAACTTACTTGAGGTCACACAGCCATAAGCAGCACTGCTTCCATCCTATGGAACACAACAGCCAAGGAGAAGTAAAGGTGGCAGCTGGACTCTTCCTCCAGGCCGAAAGGGGCACAGCCTGGAATCCCCGGAGTCCCTCCGGGCATGCTCTGTTGGCCATGAGGCTCTGAACAGACACAGGCTTCCTGGTATGGGCTGCCTACATCTCGTACCCGCTGTTCTGTTCAACAGAGCACAGCGATGCATTAGCACCCCCTGGATGGGAGACTTGTATGATTCTTGGGGTGTGTCCTGAACCACAAGCTGCTGTTCCCCAGTCTCCTGCCTTCATTGCTCAGGGCTGTAGAGTTTTATGTCCTGTCTACCTGATGGCTCCAGCAGAACCTGCTGGGCAATGGTCACACACGGTTGCATGGGTTGTGCACTGCCCAAACTCTGTGAGCACTCTTCATAGAGACCATGAGATGAATGAGCCCTGCCCCCAGAGCTGTGATACACCACCCGCCCAGCTGTCTGAACAGCAGATATGTCTTGGGTTCTAATCCAAGCTGGTTGGGATTTTGCCTGCCCTTAAAAGGTGTTTTCCACATAGACTCCATGGTTTCTAGGATCATCTTTCTGTGCCTTCCTGGCCAGGCCCCTTGAGGTCGCCCTAGTGGGGAGCTGGCGGGGCTCCATGTGGCCCAAGCTGGGGCTGGATGGGAACCAGTCCACCCTCACCGTACAGAGGAATGGAGCAGCCCAGGGCTCACCACACCCAGCTGCCAAGTTGGGACTAGTATGCAGGTCTTCACACTTTCCCAGCCTGCTTTATTTTCCTTGTTGTTCCATCCCGTTCCTGAGTACGGGCATCCAGAGGGCACCCCGCTCTCCTCCTCCTCCTCGGGTTTCCTAATAGCACTGAACAGAGGCTGGCTAATTGCTGGGTTTTGGTCCTCTCTCCAGCTCCTCATAGACAATGTACAGAGAGGCCACAAATGTGGGGGGCCAAGCATCTGGAGTGTGGCTCTAGCCATGACTCACTAGAAGGTTGGGAGTGGAGACTTTAGTGTCTCCCAGAGGAGGGGTAAGTTAAAGCAGTGCCACACAAAGGGCCAGGAGGGTTTGTCTGATCGGGGCTTCGCTGGCTTTGGGGGAAGTTTGTGGCCATAGTCCACTTTTTTGCTCGTTGGACAATGAATGTTGATTCTATTCCCAGCCTGTGTCAGGTATTAGGTGTATGTACAGAGAATCTATAGTGTTTGCCAATGAGAGCTTATGGTCTGCTGGGGAGAATGAATATTATTAGTAATAGGTTGTGGAAAACACCTAGGACCATCATGCACAGTTGCACAGATTGTGCACTGCTCAACTATAAAGGCATACTTCACATAAACTGTGAGATGAGTGAGTTATGACATACCTGTCCATGGTGGCTTTAATGTCTTTTCGTAGACATAACATAAGGCTGTAGGCTGTCAAGGAGGGCCACACCCCTACGGTGGGAGGTGAGGGAGACGGAGCGGTCGGTGCCAATCTGAAAAGGCTTTACCCCAACGAAGATGCTTAAACTGGGTCTTGGAGAATGAGCAACAAGTCTCCAGCCAAAGAAGAGGGAAGGGTACACTGGGCAGTGGAAAGACCATTTGCCAACCTTTGGAGGCATGAGACTGGGAGGCAGACCAAGAGTGGGGGAACGAGGCAAGGTAGGAGGCTGGTGTGGTTTCCAAGGCAGGAGTTCACGTGGAGGGGAGTGGTAGGCAAGGGGGAAACTTGAGAGGAACTGGGGGGGGGGTAAGGCAGGTGGGGCTAGCGACATGCAGCCAGGGGCCTGACTCCCCGAGTTTGGCCAGAGCAGCGGTTGCGGCCCCTTCGGTCTGACTCGCCCTCCCGGGGGCCTGCCCACACACCAAGGTGCACATTTCAAGATGGATATCCAACAGCTGGGCCTCAGGGGCCCTTGACCCCGGGAGACGGGTCACATCAACAACATATTTGTACCCCATTTACACAGAAGCCGAGGCTGCCTTCTGCTGGGGTTTATGCCTTCTGGGACGATTTATATGGTCTATTTTTGGAACATCCCTCACGGCGAAGAGGGCACAGGGGGTAAGTGCCATCTCTGTTTTCCATCACAGATAACTGGGTGGCCACTCCCCACACCAAGCGAGTACCTGTTCGTGGCAATCTCGTGACTGGAGAGGGGTGGGGCTCCCGGGGCTCTTTCTGGGTGCACAGGGGTCCCCAAGAAGGAGCCAGGCCAGACCGGTGATTGCCACTTTCTGAGGTTATAATTTGCTATTGTCCCCGAGCAATTACAGATTTCATTTGTCCGGGCAATATTGCAAGTTGGGTATGGGACAGACAGGGACAGAGATGTGATCTGAAAGCCAGAGAGCTGGAGAGAGATTGAAGAGTGTGTGCTCTTGGTTAAGCAAAATGTCAGTGGGGAGGAGCATGCCACCTCGTTAATGACTCTGGCTCGAGCAATTTCTTTCAAGTCAGTACATTGATGGGGCGTCTGGGAGGCTCCGTTGGTGAAGCGTCTGCCTTCAGCTCAGCTCATGATCCCAGGGGCCTGGGATTGAGCCCCACATCTGGTGCCCTGCTCAGCAGGAAGCCTGCTTCTCCCCCTCCCCCGCCGCCTTCTCTCTCTGTTGAATAAATAAATAAAATCTTTTTAAAAATTAATTAAAAAATAAAGTCAAGTACATTGGGGGTTGATTTACATATAGTAAAATTCACCTCTCTTAAGGTATAATTCTTTGAGTTGTGATAAACATATATGCTCTTATAACCACCACCATAACCAAGGTACCAAGCACTCCTGTCACCCCAGAAAGTTCCCTGATGCCCTTCTAAAGTCAACCCCAACCCAACCCGTAGCAACCATGAATCCCTCCTCTGTCCTTAGAGTCCCAGAATGTCCTAGAAATGGAATCAGATAATATGTAACCTTTTGAGTCTGGCTTTAACTTGAGCAAAACGCGCTCACGATCCATCTGCCTTATTGCACGAACCAGTAATTCATCCCTTTGGATTGCTGACCAGTATTCCGTGGGGCCGATGGGCCGCCGTGTATCCAGTTCTCCAGGTGAAGGGCCAACATTTGGGGTGTTCCCAGTTCGGGGCGATCACAAAGGAAGGCCGTAAACGTTGCATGCTGGTCTTTATGTGGTCCTGGGTGTTCAGTTCTCCCGTGATTACCCAAGAGTGGGGTTGCCGAGCCGTGTGGTCTGCGTATGTTTAACTTTGTAAGAAACTGCCAACCTCCTCCAAGTGGCTGGACCATTTTGCATTCCTGTCGATTCCAGATGCTCTCATTCCTTGTGAAAAATTTCAAGAATAAAGCAAATAAGGGAAAGTTGTGTGGCCGGGCAGCTGAGGGGAGATGCACCATCCCCGCCCCCCACCCCATCCCCTGCAACCCTGCATCCCCTCCGAGATTCTTTTCCGTTTGAACCTTTGTAGAAGTGCTGTTTGGGCCCTTGCTGGGGTTGCTTGTTGGACATCTTACTGTTAGGGCTTCCCGTGATGGATGGGTTTTACACATTGGGCACAGAGCCCAAGCTCAAGAGCCACAGTGACATCAGATAAATGATCACAGGCCATTTCCTGCACGCGGCTGCTTGTGCATGCCCTCTTTCCCTGCAGGGGTTCTGGGGCCGTTCTAGCTGGATGAGGGACAGGGAGACAGGCAGTGAGGGCCGGTGACCCCCCCCCCCTCACCTGGCCACAGAAAGCCCCGCGTGTCTGCCAGGCACTAAGAACGGACTCGGGGACAAGACATGCAGAGACAGAGTGAGTGCCAGCCCGTGACCTCGGGAAATCAATGGGCTCGTTTGGGGCAGAAATGAGCAACGTACACCCCAGGCTAAGCCAGTATTACCAAAGATGATGGGGGGCAATTCAGGGATCCATGACCCCCCCCCCCCCCAAACGGCACCGACGGTCACACCTCTTTCTCGTGCAAGGAAGAACAGTATCCTAAAGCCTGGGCTGCTGGTTGGGTGACTTGAATTAGGTCTTAAACGACCATGGGAACTCTCAAGTTGGTGAGGAGAGGGGCTGGGACCAGGGGAGGGGGGGCAGGAACAGAGGCCCAGAAGTCGGGACATGGGAAGGGGGCCCACAGAAAAAATACTTCACCTACATTCTCCCTGCCAGAGCCGCCCTTCAGCTGCGGCTTCCCCTGGGAAAAAGTGGGATCGAAGACCCTTAAGCTGTATGGGGGCCTAGAAGCTGGCCAGCTCAGGGGTCCACAAAGATTGGGGGGGTGCAGAGGGGACGACCAGCCTCTCTCAGACCTCCTGAGTCGGAACTGGAGGGCAGCATAGGGGGAGATACGCAGCTTACTGGAGGTCACCCAGCAGCCTGGGGTCAGAGCTCTGGGTAAACCGAGCCACCTGCCGCTGGGTCACAGGGTCCTGCCAGGTCTGAAGTGGGACTAACAGCGATATTCTCTGTCCGTCCATCCACCATCCAGGTGCAAGTTCTTCAGTCTGACTGAGACGCCGGAGGATTACACCATCATTGTTGATGAGGAGGGGTTCCTGGGTAAGTACTTCTGTCACCCGGGCTCGGCTGGACTGTGGCCTGTGGTCAGTGTTGGCTGCCCACCACCTTATTTCTGCCCCCGCCCGCTGCCTTATTCTGCCCACCGCCCACTGCCTTATTTCTGCCCCTGCCCCCTGCCTTATTTCTGCCCCCCCCGCCCGCTGCCTTATTTCTGCCCCCCACCCACTGCCTTATTTCTGCCTCCCCACCCATTGCCTTACTTTTGCCCCCCTCTCCTTCTGGCGAGTGGGTTAGAAAGTCAGCAGAGTCTGTTTTCTGCTCTCCCTGTGCCCTGCCTCCCCCACGTCCTCTCAGTTTTATTTAGTAAAGTGCATTATGTTGGTCCTGGTCTCACGCAACAGTGAACATTCGTTTGCGCTGACCACTGCACGCTAATTTATGAGGAGGTGGTGTTATGTGCATCACACCGGTGGGGAGCTGCGAGCGGAGGGGAAGTCACATGCCCAGGCTCACAAGCCACCGAGCGGGGCTCCCCCCAGAGCTGGCGTTCCCGCCGAGCCCCTCCGTTCCGTTCTTACAAGCCTACAGAGAGTGCAACAGATTCCACATTTTTATAAAAACCCTCTTCCGCCCCGAAGACAACTCCTGGTCCCTCTTTCGTGTTTCTCTTTCCAGTTTTACTGGCATGAGTTGTCTCTTTTTCATTTGCGTGCGATCATATTCTGGAGAGAAATGTTTGCACCAGACGTTGTAACGTACCGTTTCCTCTCGCGGTCCACGTCGTGGTGGATGTGGCCTGCCTCCTCGCCCGGTGCCCTACGCTTAGAATCCAAGTTGGGTTTCATGGTTCTCCAGGGATAAATTTATGAACTCCTGAAATGTGTGACCTTTATTCTTACTCCAGGCTGATTCCTAAAATGGGGTCTGAGACCTGGCATTATGGGGTCAGAAGCTGTTTGTGTGGTTCTCAGGGGAAGTTGACGGGGGCCACCGTATTAGGCCATTCTCACTGGTGAGCAAGGGGAGCCCTGGAGGAATTGACTTCACCCCTACGCTCTGTCATCCTTATGCACCCCTGCTCCATCATCAGAGGTGTCCGTCTGGTCATTCATTCATTCATTCATTCAGCAGACACTTTCTGAGCCTAGAAGCCACAAACAGGACCTTTTGCCTTAACCACAAAGTGTGGTCCCAGGAAGAATGTATGCTTGGGCAACCCAGAACCATCTCCGCGGTTGTGTGGGCCCTGCTGAGAAGCATGGTACCTCAGACACAGGAGGAACGCCCCAGAGCGTGTCTGCTCTAGGAGCAGATACCCTGGCAGCTCCATGTCCCCAGATGAATCGAGGCAGCAAATGAGCGAGCACGGTGAGCAGGGAGGGAGGGAGGCTGTAGCCGCAGGCCCCGGCGAGCCGGTTTTGCAGGCCCTGGAAGCCCACATTGTAGGAATCGTCAAGCCCCTGGGAGGCGTCAGGCAGGTGAACGGCTGCCTGTCCCGAGCCAGCCCCTGGGCTTGCAGGAGGCAGCGGTGACGGAGCCCCTCTGACCCCATGAGCCCCAGAGTCTGCCAGCTACCCACAGTTAGATGTAGAGTTGTGATTGCGGTGGGGGCTTTGCCGGAGACCCCAGAGGAGGGGCCCTTAAAATAGGAGGCAAGACAGCAGAGAGCAGATCCATGAGCACCCTGAATCGACGAATACTGACTTATCTCCCTGCCCCGACGGGGCTTCTAGCTGCAGAGACTATGCTAATAAGCCCTGGGAAAGACTCTCATTAGCCTCATATTATAGATAAGGAAACTGAAGCACAGAAATGGATGTCACCTGCCCGAAGCCTCATGGTTGGTGTCTTCTCTGGATGTTTCCAGGGGCCAGGCCCTAGGTTGGGGAGCGCAGAAGTGCAGGCATCCAGTCTTTGCCCCCAGGGGGCAGCTTACGGCTCTGGGAGGACAGAAACACAGGAGCCAGAATTACAGTAGCAATAGAGAGTGGCGCCCCGCCTGGCTGGCAGAAGTGCAGTCCGAGGGGACTGCCTGGAGGAGGCAGTGCTCGAGGCAAACCCAACTAGATGAGTAATGAGCCCACCTCGTGGGACCTGGGAAGTTGGGAGTGGGGAGGCTTCCAGAATGGAGGGTTGCCTGGCACTCCCAGGGAACTGGAGGTGAGAAGACAGAGCAGAAGGAGATGGGGCAAGGGAGGCCAGGAGAGACAGAGGCAAGGGGCAGCCAGTGAAGGGTCTCATCTGATCTTGAAGGGTTTGCCTGGAGGAGAGAGCCGAGTAAGAAGGCTGGCGCAGTGAGGATAGAGCGGGGAATCAAGAAAGATTCCAAATCTGAATTTACCTGGGCCTTTTTCCTGAGCTCCACTGCTGATCAGCAGGGAGCCTCACACTGTATTTGGGCCTGGAAGAACTGGTGAGCCTTCAGCATGTCCCTTTCTGGGGAGCTCAGAAGAGGAGGCTTTGGGGGAGCTTATGTAGTCAGGGAAGGCTTCCTGGAGGAGGCAATTTTTGCTGCCCTTGAAGGGCCGAGGAGGGAGAGAGCATGTCAGGTGGAGGTGTATGAGTAAGTATAGAAGCAGCAGAGACCAGGTCCAAAAAGCATATGGAAATGTAGGTTCAAACGAAAAAGAGGTGAGCAGGGTCAGTTTGGACCCTGCAGGCAGTAGGGAGCCATTGAAGGTTGCTGAGTGGGAGAGAGTCGTCATTGGGGCTGGACTCAGGAAGAGGCACCCGGGGTGAGTGTGCAGGAGGGGAGAGAGTGTGAGGTGGGGGCCTCCCGGGGGGTAGGGGAGTGAATAAGCAGGCTTTGTCCAAAGTGAGGTCTTTAGGCCCAGGCTGAGACCCTAACTGGCCCAGGGAGGGAATTACCACAATCCTGAAACCCTGACATTCCCCGGAGCCATTAATAATCGCCTGGACTCTCCCCAAACCTTTTCCGGTGGCCGGAGCAATAATAATGTCTTCAGTCTGGGGAAGGGAGCTTCGGGAAAACAGGTGTAAATTATTCGCCCAGCAGGGGCTGAGAGGAGGGGTCCTTAACCTCATGACTTCTGGGTAGGGGTCTCGCTTCCAGGCCGCGATTCCTGGTCAGCACACGCGGGCTGCTTGAATTATCTATTACTGCCCAAGAAAAACCGGGTACATTTATGGGAGTGTAGCATCTCTCGCACATATGCTGGTCAAAAGGTGGGGGGAGGATGTCGTTGAGAAGCGCCTCCCGGCCTCACCCTGGCCTAGGATGGGAAGACCCAGGTTCGGATCCAGCTCTTGTAGCTTCACGGCTCCCCGGGGCCTCCTCCCCAAACACAGCATCACCTGTCCCTTCTGCAAGGTGCCCACGTGGCCATCCGATGCACATGCACTCGATCGGCGTCATTCTGTCCTAGATGAGCCGTGGTTCCTCTGCCCGGCCGCGCTGTTGGATTTTCGGGAGCACCCAGGTGTTCGTTTGAAATCCCTCTGGGTCTCACACTTGCCCGTGAGTCTGTCTCTGCCCCACGTGTTAACGACTGCTTTGCAGCGAAATTGCGCATTTATATAACTCTTGATGCGTGTTGCCCAACTGCCATCGAGAAACCAGCAAAACTCGGCTAGCAGTGTACTAACAGAAAAGGCTCTGGCATTTGGTGAGCACTTGGACGCCAGGCACTTAGCTAAGCGCTTGATGGGGATTATCTCATTTAATCCTTCGAAGCATCTTCTGGAGCTGATCCTGATTTCATCATTCTGCATTTGCAACTAAGAAACGGAGGGGCGTTGCCTTTGCCCACAGTCATCGAGGCAGGATTAAACCCGCCCACCTGACCCCAGGACTCTTGACCCTGCTGCGGGCCGGGCAGGAGAAGCCTGAGAAGCACAGGCTGGGTGGGGAGCATGCAGCTGTGTAGCGCGGGGACCCGCGGGTCCTGCAGCCGGAACAGGGGAGGCCTGGGGAGGGGGGTTGGGTACAGTGAGGAGGGCAGTGCGGGGGGACGCGGGGGTTCCACCTAGCCACAGAGCCGCCCCAGTCGGTGGCTGAGGGTGACAAGACGCCGTTAACCTCCACTACCACAGAGCATATGCAGCTCCGACAGGCTATTTTTAGAGGCTTGTACTATGTGCGGTGACAGAAATAATCCATTTTAGTTTTGGAATGGGTCCACTTTTCCTCTAGGGAAGGGCAGGCTCGCTGCCTCCTGGTCAGCCTCCTGGCAGCTCATCCCCACGGCCCCAAAGTGGCACCTCAGGCACCCCGAGGCTTGGTCCGGGGTGAGGATGGGCCCCAGGCAGGCCTTCCGCTCCCCCCACCCCTCCACCCCAGTATTTGAGGTCCCAGGGGCCAGAAGCAGCAAACACTGTGGTTTCCAGCTACTTTTGCTCTTCTGACAAAGCTCGCACTTCTGGAAGTATCAGAGGGGCTGACCGCCGGTCCAAAGCTGCCCACCGTCAGTGGGTTCTCTCCAGGGCCGAGAGTCAGGAGCGGCAGGCCCTGAGGCCTGGAGCAGGGCAGGCAGACCCATCCCGGCCGACCTGCTGCCCAGACTGCCCAATAGTTGGACTGACCTGAAATCCTCTGTCGTCCGCCCCCAACCCCCACCATCCCATGTCCCCATTTTCAGCTGGCTTCAGGCCTGGGCTTCTCCCTGGGACTCATCCAAACCTGCCGAGAGACTCCCCAGAGCAGAGCCTTGGCTACACCAGCACCCCTTAAAAACACACACACCCCAGCACTTCACTGACTCGGAGGGGACGCGCCTTCCCCACTGTATCTGCCACGGCTTCCCAGCAGCCTGGGCCGGGGCTGGGAATGGCACCCGCTCCCCCTGGGGCCCCTTGGCCCGACCCTGGGAAGTTGGGTATGGGAGCAGGGGATGGTGGTGAAGGCCACCCCCCACCTCGGGTCTGGCAGGGCGACCGAGCTGGGCGGAAGGCGGTGAGCCGGGAAGGTAGATGAGTGGGATCGTGGGCTGGACCAAGCAGAGAGGCAGGGCGAGCTGCCCCCGTCCCTCATCCTTGTCTCGCACCCCTGTGCGCCACGTGCTGAACGTGGCTGGGGACAAAGCAGACAAGGCCACCACCCCCCACGGTAGCCGCTCACTGCGCGCACAGCCATCAGAAGTGAAATGAATCAAAATGAAATAAAATGTACCATCTTCTTCTGTCGCATTAGCCACGTTTCTTCTGTCCGCTCTGAGGCCACATGCGAGCGGCTACCATTTTGGGCAGCTCAGGTGTAGACCCCTCCCCATCGCTGCACAGAGCTCTCTTGGGAAAAGGACCTTGGCTTTTATCCGAAGGACGAGGGAAGCCGCTGGGTGGTTTTGGGTCGAGAGGAACCTGGCAGGGAAGGCAGAGGGCCGGTTCGCAAAAGCTGACGTGGTCTCGTGCTAGCATGCGGCGACATAAGATATAATTGACCCTTCCAGAATTTTCCCAAGAAGGCTGAAGGGTTTCTGCCCTACTGGAAAGGGGCATTTTCAAACTTTCATCATTAAATATGTTAAAACGATGGCTGGCCGCTCTCGGGGCCGCGTGGCTCACACCCAGCACACGGGAACACAGGAAGCGTTGGGCGGACCATCTAACAAGCCTGGACCATCAAGGTACCCCGGCCCTCGGTGGCTCCTGGGGCTGTCTCTGCAGAAGGTGGCAAGGTTGGGGGGCTCACAACGCTGCCCCCGGGTCCAGACCCCTTAGAATTTCAGAATTGAGTTCCTGGGGCTGTCTCTGCAGAAGGTGACAAGGTTGGGGGGCTCACAACGCTGCCCCTGGGTCCAGGCCCCTTAGAATTTCAGAATTGAGCTCCTGGTTCTGGGGAGGAGGTTTTCTCTGGTGGTCAGACTATTTTTCTTCCGACACCCAGTGACAGTGAGACTAGATGCAGAAGCCCGAGGCCCAGGGCCTCTTAAACGCCTTTCCTCCTGCTCTTCCTCCCAAACCTCTCCCCTTTTCTGGGAAGCCGCCTGGCCCTCTAGCCAGTCTGGCTGGGATGGTCCCTTCTGAGGCAGCAGGACCAGTGGGCAGCCAGGCTGTGGTTCCCATGGGGCGACTGGAGCTAGGCAGGTGGGAGCCCAGGTGGGGCCTCCCTCAGTTTCCCCTCCTCGGAAGCCACGTTGCCTTCCCCGGGGTGACACTGTCATCATCACAGTCCCCCTGGTTCGCCGGTGTCTGGGCCCCTCTTCCTGGCCCCCGCCCTACCTGGGGACCTGGTCAGACCGGGGTTTGAGTCCTGGTTCTTGTTTCCCTGAGGGATCTCCAGCAGATCCCCAGCCCCCTCGGCACGCTGGTTTGTCCTGCATGTGGTGGGAATGACGGTCCTGACACAGGGTGTGTGTGAGCAGGCACCTGGGATGCAAAGCGAGTCCCACGCGCAGCCTGTGTGGGTGGAGATGCGTGCACGTGCGTGTGCCCACGTCCTGTGGCCCCACGGGCAAGCTCCCCACGTGCTCTCTGTGCAGGACCAGGTAGAGCAGGTGAACAGGCGGATTCCAGCTCTTTCTGAGCTAGTCAAGGAGACCTGGTGATTGCTGCCACTCTGACCCTCCTCCACCCTGCCCCCACCAGCGCCAACCCCAGGATCCCTGGGCTCTCTGGAGGAGGGACTTGGGTGACAGTCACTGTTGCCAAAAGGTGGCACCCTGCGGAGCCCTCCTGAAGCCGCGTGTTCTTCCAGAGTGCAGGTCTGACAGAAGCAGGGAGAGAAATCCCGGGCCCCCCACCCTGTCTCCTGGCTTCCCCTCCACCCCCCAGCCCTCCTGAGAGGTTCCCAGGAACTGGTATGAAAACCAGGGGGAAGAGGGGGTGCCTGGGTGGCTCAGTCGGTTAGGCGTCTGCTTCTTGGTTTTGGCTCAGGTCATGATCTCAGGGCCGTGAGATCGAGCCCCACGTCGGGCTCTGCACTCAGCAAGGAGTCTGCTTGAGATTCTCTCTCCCTCTGCCCCCCCACCCCCGTACACACGCTCGTTCACTCTCTCTCTTGAAGAAATAAGTAAATCTTAATAAAATAACCAGGGGGCCTGTTCCACCCACTTGAGGGCAGCTCCTGACAGCCAGAAGGGTGGTGGGAACTGGAAATAAAATCATTACTCGCTGCTGAACACCCACTGTTTCATGGGTGAGACCGTAGAAGCCCAATACAGATAAGCCACTTGTCGCCCAGGCTCCTGCCCTGCCAAGTGGTCAGGCACGTCTGAGGTCCTCTGAAGGCCTTCCCTGCTCGGTCCTCCCAGGGTGGGACCTCTGATTCCATCCTCCTCTGACAGATAAGGGCACCGAGGTCCGGAGGGCAGGGACTGGCCGGGGTCCCACAGCTGGCCTGCACCTCTGTCCCCATCTCTGCAACCCGCCCTGTCCCCTGCCCGGAGGACCCATCAGTCACAGGCCCGCCTTCCATGTGTCATCCCCTTCCCTCCCCCTGCAGAGCTGCCCTCCTCGGAGCACCTGAGCGTGGCGGACGCCACCTGGCTGGCCCTGAACGTGGTGTCAGGCGGGGGCAGCTTCTCCAGCTCGCAGCCCATCGGTGTGACCAAGATAGCCAAGTCGGTCATCGCCCCACTGGCCGACCAGAACATCTCCGTGTTCATGCTGTCCACCTACCAGACGGACTTCATCCTGGTGAGCCGGGGCCCCGCTCAGAGAGAGGTCAAGGGTACCTTGGGGTCATGGGTCAGGTGTCAGCATGGCCCCGGTGGGACCATGGGGCTCCGTGGAGCCCCACGCACCGCCTATTTGTTGCAGACCGTGCTGGGTTCGACCTAGAGGCCAGGATGTGAGGGCTGGGAGCACATGCGGGGAGGGGTGGCAAGAGTGTCTGGTCACAGGGCCCGCAGGGGTTTCAGGCTCCCATCCCCCACCAGCGTGGCAGGAGGGATGGGGGAAGCTGGTTCTGGGCGCAAAATCTCAGAATCAAGGGGGTCGGTGCCCATGGTCAGGGACCACGGGACACTCACATCCTTGACTCCCCATCCCCAGGTGCGCGAACGGGACCTGCCCTTTGTCACTCACACCTTGTCATCAGAGTTCACCATCCTGCGGGTCGTCAATGGCGAGACGGTAGCAGCTGAGAACCTCGGCATCACCAATGGCTTCGTGAAGCCCAAGATGGGTGAGTTGAGGGGGCTCTATGCAGGGCAGACCTCAAGAAGTCGCCAGGACCTACCCCAGAGCAACCCCATTCTCAGAGCATTCATTAAGCACCAGGCATAACACAGTGCGACAGTCCTGGTCAGACCCTGCTCTCAAGGTCTAGCAAGGGCAGGGGACGTGGACACAGCCAGTGATGGCCAGAGGCCACTCCTCACCCATCCAGGGTATCAGGACGGGCCTCCCAGAGGCAACGACTCTCTAACTGAAGCTTGGAGTCCAAGTAGGAGCTCAGCCTGGTGGTAGAGGTTGGAAAGGTCTTTCATTCCAGGCAGACAGCAGGGCATATGCAAAGGCCCGGGGGTCTGGAAGTGAGCCTGGAGAATCAGGAGTCGTGGGTGGTACTGGAGGCTGCAGAAGGTACAGGGGCAGGTCCCCCAAAGCAGCTGCCTGCTGACCCCACCCCTCATCGGGCCCTCCTCCTGCCCCACGCCTCTCCTCCTCCCGGCCTCAGTGCCCACTGTCTTTGCTCTCGCAGTCCAGAGGCCTGTCATCCACCCTCTGTCCAGCCCAAGCAACAGGTTCTGTGTCACCAGCCTGGACCCTGACACGCTTCCTGCGGTCGCCACACTTCTCATGGACGTCATGTTCTACTCCAACGGGTACGGCCCCCTTGGACGTGAGAGGCTGCGGGGTGGGCCAAGGGGACACGACTCTGCCTGGGAGCCCCAGTCTGAGTGGGGAGACACAAAAGCCACCACCTGCCCTGGAAGCTAGTCTGGGAGGGGGTGGATCATGGCTCTACCCAAAAGCTGTGCTCTGAGAATCCCAAAACTTGGTGAAGCCCCAGGGCCATATGTCCATGAAATGAGCACCCCACTCACTGTCCCCTGAGCTCCAAGGGCAAGCCGGGTCAGCAGGGGAGCCAGGAGCTCGGGGGTTTTCATTCGGCAGACAAGAGGCTTTGCATTTTACCTCGGAGCAGATTTTAGCGGGGTGGGACCAGGGGCCAGTGAGCTGGCAGTGACCACACACTGTGCCCCAAGCTGTGGGTCGGCGCAGGGACAGAGAAACCCTGTCCAGCAAGGGGCGGGGGTGGTCTGCACCGAGAGCCGGCTGGGTCTCTGGCTCCGTGAAGTGTGGTGCTCACCTCTGTGAACGCCGTGGACTCGTCCGCATCTCAGATGGGGAGACCGAGGGTGGGAGCAGAGCTTCAGGGTCACCCAGCAGGGCAGGATCAGGGCCAGGGCTTGGCCCCAGCTTTCCCAGGCTGGTGGGCCGGCGGGCAGGCCAGGTGGGGGTCTGGGTGTGGCGGGGGGTCCACTGCATCCCTCACCACCCCACCCCCTGGCCCCCAGAGTGAAAGACCCCATGGCTGCCGGGGAGGACTGTGGCCATATCCGCTTCTTCTCCTTCTCCCTCATTGAGGGCTACATCTCCCTGGTGATGGACGTGCAGACCCAGCAGAGGTGAGTGGCCCAACTTACGGACGACATGCAGCTCAGACAAAGGCCTGGGGCCGTCGGGGCGCTGTTGGTCCCTCAGCCCCCTCTCTGGAGCTGGGTGGGGGGGAAGGTGTTCCAAAGCCCACTCCCAGCCCTGCCTTCCCATTCCCCCCGACATGAGGGGGGCTCAGGAGGGGGCCCCGACGGCAGCCACAGCTCCAACCAAGGGACCACGACCAACGTCAGCCTCTGGGGTTTGTCTCTCTCTCCTTGTTAAGGTTCCCTAGTAATTTGTTGTTCACCAGCGCATCTGGAGAGCTCTGGAAGATGGTGCGGATCGGAGGACAGCCCCTGGGATTTGGTGAGCCCCAGGGAGGGGGGGAGGGCGGGGACCACACCAGCGGGCGGGGGCCTAGCATTGCCGAGTGCCGTCCGTCAGGGCTCACTCACCCTGCGGTACAGACAGGAAGGCTGAGGCTTAGGGAGCTGACATCCCCACCGCCATGGGCCCTTGACCAGCGAGTGACAGGAGGTGCGGGCCTTCAACCAAAGTGCTCTTATTTCTCCCGCACTAGAGATTGCATTCCTGTTGCTTATTACCCCACTGGGGGGCACAATACAAGTTGAAAAGGAAGGGCGCCTGGCTGGCTCAGTCGGCCAAGCGGCCGACTCTTCTTGATCTCAGCGCAGGTCATGATCTCAGGATTGTGAGTTCGGGCCCTGCCGTTGGGCTCCATGCTGGGCGTAGAGTCTTCTTGAAAAGGAAAAAAAATCACGTTTAGTCCCAGCTGCTCACAGGCAATGGATATTGTTCCGATGAGTGCCGTTCACATAAATAAATGCAATTGCCGTCAGACTCCGGCACCCCAGCACTCACCCCAAAATACCTCCCCATTTCTGTCCCGGGAGGGAGCAGCTTCTCCTCCGTAGCGATGACCTGATCGTACGGAGGACATCCGCAGAGATTCCCTAAGAGTCTCTAGTCTCGGTTTCCACAGCTGCCCAAACAGCGTCGTTGGCAGCGAGTTTTGTCCACAAGCGTGTTCCAAGGGGCCCCGGGGCTCGGAGTCCTCGGTAGTTAGCAGGATCGCGTGGCACCGATTTCGCCCGGGGCTGGGTGGAGGCCGCCGGCCCATTGTCAGTGATGTGCCGATCAGAAATGACTTCCTTAAGCTAGACCTGTTAGACCCCAGAGCTGGAACCCGGGAGAGGCTCTTGGTCGTCTCTGGGAAGCATCCTCCAGAAGCCCTGGTGGGATTGGTGAACGCTGATTTCCCACAGATACAGTGAATGAAGAACATTCCCGATGAAGCCCAGACTGCTCCAGGGGCCATCATGTCAGCCCTTGGATGCTCAATTCCTAGGACGGGAGATGGAGGTGGCAGGGCATTTTGACCTGGGGGCAAAGGGTGGGTGAGGGAGCCAGGTTCTGCCTCCTGCCTCACCTGCCTGTGGATGAGCTTGCAGGTGGACGGGTCCCCCCAGCTCCGCTCACATGAAGGCCAAAGCCAGAGCCATCCTGGGGGCAGGACAGTGGGCCACTCTGTGGAGTGCTAGGAAGTGTATACTGAAGGTTCCTGGTCCGACCCCGGGGCCCAGCCTGCCTCTCGCGGCGGGGCGGGGGGCCTCCTTCGCCACAGACCCCAGCGTTTCTCCTGCCCACTTTGGCTGCCCGGTGCGGGGCCGTGGGGATTGAGCGCTGGAGCAACTCCTCACCGAGGCTGTTAGAAACGACGTGAGCACAGGCAGGTTGTCTACCCTCTGAGCCTCGGTCCCCCAGTATGCCATCCTAATAAGGACGATGGTAGATGCCTCGCCTGGGTGCTGAGCAGGGCGTGTCTGTCATACCAGGTGCTCAGCTGTCCTTGTCACGTGTCAGGCCCGGGTGGCTCAGGGAAGGGTCGGGAAGGGTAAGGCTCCCCAGAGAAGGTGCCTGGTGACCTGGCAACAGCTGTCCGCGGCACCCACGTGGCTCCAGGTGGCCGTGCCCAGGGTGCAGGGTCCAAAGGTAGAAAGGGTAGAAGAACCTAGCCAGGTCGCCCCAGGCAGGGGGGCAGAGTCCTGATGCGGGACCGAGGGGTCTGGAGGTGGAGGGGAGTGGCAGAGCTCTGGCGGGCGGCGGGGCGCCACCAGGAGACTGCGTCCATCAGAATAGCGTCTCTCATGCAACCACAGAAGGTCCCGATGAAGGAGGAGGAAAGAGGGGATGGGGACGGAATCCAGACGTGTAGCCGTCGGGCCTGTGTGTCGGGCGTCCGACAGAAGGGTGTGCACCGCGGCCGTGCTCGCCTCCCAGCCAACAGCTGGGAGCTGCCTGCGCAGGGCGGCGTGGGCTCCGGGGCCACCCTGACGGCTGTAAATAGCCCTGCAAGGAAGAGAGCTTGCCGAGGATCTGCAGGATCCCAGACCAGCACATTCCGTAGGTTTGTGAGCGTGGTTCGGAGTAAACGCGGCTTCCCTCCGAACCCAGCGCGCCTGCGTGCGAACAGCTCCAGAACCGTCCTCGGCCCAGCTCTGTGCTGTGTGTGCCGTCTGGGCTCCCCCCTTAGCCATCCCGTCGCTTTATAAAGTGCGCGTCACCAGCCTTCTGAACTGACGTGACAGGTGGGTCCCAACCCGAAGTCAGAAAGGCATTGTTCTCGACTCCAATCTCCTAACCCCGTTTTTAGGGGAATAGTTGCGTCCCTAGTGAAAGGATCTTAGGAGACGAGTCTCCACCACGTGGTGGCGCAGACAGACGGGCACCAGATGTACAGACCCTGGGCCTGCCCAGCCACCCAAAGGGCCCGGCAGACCAAGCGGAGAGCAGGAGCTTGAGAAGCCCACAGAGTCACCACACAGGCCCAGGGCTGGGCTGATGGCAGCAGGACTGGGGCCAGGGAGTGAAGGAGCAGAAGGGAGGCTGGAGGGGGTGACGATGGGGTGTTGGAGGGGTGGAGCCCGGGCCGGTTCCCAGGCTCCAGCCTCAGAAGCGCGAGGGGAGCTGACGACCCGATCTGGACTCTCCCACCCGGTCGGGAACAGCGTTGGGAAAAGGCATCGTCGTCAAAATCGGAATAGTGGCTTGGGGGGAAACAACCTGAAACCTTGGAAGGGGTTGTGTTGGTCGCACAGAGCGGTCCTCGGACCCTGGAGGTCTTCCTGGAGGAGGAAGCCTTGTGTGGTGCCTTCAAATCAGGCAGGGAGCCGGGGTTGAGGAGAGGATGCACCCCTGCTTTGGAGGTCGAGAGGGAGAAAGAAGCCCGTTCCGGCCCCAGGCAGATGCCTGGCACTAGTTTTAGGACCACCCCGCTGGCCTCCACAGATCATTACCCGGTGGGGACTCTGAGGAGGAACCCGATGCTCACAGAGCGGAAGTGACTTGACCACAGCCTTCTGGCTAGAAGAGAGTCAGAGGGCGACAGGAAAGAGGGCCTGAACCCACATCCTCCCGTTGGCCACATTGCATCTGGCTCTGTCTCGGAGAACTCGCGAGAGTCGGGAGCAGGCAGAGGGTGACCAAAGCTGGACAGAGCTGGGCTCCGCGGAACCCTGGGACAAAAGCTCGTTGCCGGCCAGGGAGGGTCAGAGAAGGCTCCTGGGTGGAGGGGCCCCTGCGCTAAGCCTTCAGGGCGGGGGCGGGAGCGCTGGGAAATCATGGGGGCGTGGCCGGCCCCGGCAGCAGGGGCAGGGGGGAGGCTGGCCGAGGATGCTGAGCGTGGTCCCCCCGCCTGTGTCCCCAGATGAGTGTGGCATCGTGGCCCAGATCTCCGAGCCCCTAGCTGCTGCGGACATCCCCGCCTACTACATCAGTACCTTCAAGTTCGACCACGCGCTGGTGAGTGTCCAGCAAGGCCCCCGGGGCAAGGGCTGCCGGTTCAGGGCTCACGGGTTCTTGCCTCCCCCTGCCCCCTCGCAGGTGCCCGAGGAGAACATCAGTGCCGTCATCAGCGCCCTGAAAGTCAGCCAAGCAGAGAAGCATTAGGAGGGCCTCTTCTGCTCCTCCCTGTCTGCCCCCCCAGGCCTGGGCCCAGCCCCTACCCTGAAGATTCTTCTCGCAGTATTTCTCACAGACTGGAAAATCGGTCCCAGGGTCCCCCAAGAAGGGGCCTCTGGGAGACACCCCCGATTGCTTTCCCTGCCAGGCCCGGGGCCCAAGCCAAGACCTCCCCGTGCCCTCCTGCCTTCCTGGAGCCCCCAGACCCTCCAGAGAACCCCTAACCTCCTCCTCCCCCCACTCCTACTCCAGAAAACGGTGTCCGAGGCCCAGGGAGTTCACAAGCCCACCCACCTTCCCACCTGGCCTTGCCTACAGCTGGGGGCAGATGCTGAAGGAAGCAGGGGCCTCCTACGAGACAATGGGGTTCTGATCCTCACGTCATCTTGGGGAGGGAGCTGGCCGAGTGGGGCTGAGTTCACGGAGCCAGGGGAGGCCCCCGTGAGGACCTGGGGCTGGATGTTGCGGTCGCTGGTCTCTGGATCCATCAGCTCCGGGCTGGTTCCCGCAGAGTGGAGGCCAGCGGGCGGCCCTTGGGTCACGGGCTGGGGCAGCTCTGACAAGCCTGGGTGGGGCCCCCGAGCTGGGGAGGACCCGCGCCACCCAGAATTCCGCCTGCCGTCCAGAGGGCTTCTGCCCCGACTCCCAGCAAGACTGCCAAGGAGGCCCTGTCCAGACCCTCCCCACCGTAAGCACTCACGCCTGGGGGCGGTTCCCAGGAGACCCACCAGCCTGGGGCACGAGCGCCTGTCCCCTGTTGCTTTCTCCGGACCCTACTTGGGCGAGGCAGAGCCTTGGTTTTCCCCAAGCAGGGGCATCCCCAGCAATCTGGACCTGGGGTTTCTTGGGTCACCCCCACTCCCCAGCAGTTGACTAGACCAGCACAGGGTTCCCCCGTTATCCTGCTCCCCTCCCCTGCCCCACTTTTGGGGGACGTGGAAGGCCTCTGGCCCCCAACTCACCTGCCTGCCTGCCCCTCAGCTGGGGGACTGTGGCACTCATGAGTACTTGACCTGGGGGGCAGCTTATCTGAGCCTTAATAGAGAAACTGTACCGTACGTTTTAGTTTCTTATTTAATATATTTGCGCCCAGGCTGCAGTTTTCAGGGGACGGGGCCTGCTGAGTTCTTTCGGGGGGCCCAGAGGCTCAGCGTCACTCGGCTGGTGCCCTGTGGCTCCAGGGACAGGCACGAGAATCGGGAGGTGTCCCAGGAGCGTTGGCCCTCTCTTTGGAGCAGGAAGCTGGCCGCAGAGGTCTGTTGCAAGATCAGGGTCCCCGCCGGGGCACCCCACACGGAGCTGCGCACGCAGCCCCACTGACAGGTGCCCAGGGAGCCGTGGTCCTGTCTGAGCATCAGAGGGGACCCAAAGGCCACAGGGTGGTGGGCAGTCAGGTGGCAGGCCAGCTGAGGTGGCCTCGTACCCCTGGAGGCTGGCCAGGGAGAATGGGGTGAGCCCCCCGTGCCTCCCCTCCCACCGGGGGTGCCTCCCAAGCGAGCTGGACCAGAGGGTCTGCTGAGGCTCCCGCCCTCCCTGATGCTCCTTCTCGGGCAGCATGGCTGACTTCGGCGCCGTTCCTGAGAAGCTCAGAGGAGAGAGGACGTTCCCTTAGGCCAAGGGCTTGTGTGGGCCCCACTCCCCACCTTCTCCCAGCGTTGGGGGACCCCCTGAGCCCGGGCAGCCCACCACGGAAGAGCCGTGGGTCTGGATCCTTGAAGATGCTCAGGGCCCAAGCACTGATTAGGAACCCACTTCTTTTTTCTTTTTTTTTTTTTTTTAAGTTAATTCATTTTGCACAAAGCTCCAAAACAACCAAAACGTGCCCACTGTTTGCCGTCTCCAAAACGGGGGCGCACGAGCGGGCAGGGAGGGACCCGAAGCCCTGAGTCCCCTTTCTCTCTCCTTGGAAGGCCTTGATTTTCCGTGGCGCGCCTCTCCAGACTCCCTCCTGTCAGGTCCCCTGATGGTGTCACCTCTCCGCCTTCCCTCCCTGCCGAGCAAGTGTGTCGGCGCCGTGACCCCAGAAACGTGTGCTACCCAGCCCCCCCCCCCCGAGAACGTATCTATTGTACACACCTATAAATACCTGTGTTTTATGTTGATATAGATATATACTGTAAATAGCATATATACTTGAGCAATATATATGTTAATACATGCCATGTGAGCACGCACACGCGTGTGTGCAAAGTACGTGGACGCGGACCCCACTGTGTGTGCGCGTGTGTGGGCGTGAGGGCCTCCGCCCGCCGTGTCTGCTCCGCCCACAGGCACGTTTTGAGCCACCGTATATTTTTAAATCAAGTATATAGGCAATACCTTATCAGAGAAGCCGTGACTTGAGAGAGAAACAAAACCAGCAGCCCAAGAGCGGAGCCCCCGGAAAGCTGGATTCAGCCCCATCCCGCAGCCCCATTTCCATGGCCAAGGCCCCTGGACGCCCTTGTTTGGTCTGGGGGATGGCGGTACGGAGGCGGGAGTGATGGCATTTCTTCTGACTCCACAGCAGAAAGGCCCTCTTCCCGTTGCCCTGAGCCCGAACCCCTGGGCAGGGAGGTGGTCCCGCTCCAGCTCTCCACCCGGGGTCCCCCCCGCACCCCTACATGGTTGTTCTGCGTCTTTTCCACCCGCAAGCTTAGAAACCACAGGTTCTTTTCCCAGGCCTCCTCCTGGATACTGGCCCTGTCTAGCCAGAAAAAGGACCAGTGCCCTTGACCTTGTGTCCAGCAGGGGCTGGGCGAGGCCTGGGCCCGAGCGGCCACCTGGAGCTTCCCCTCCCCGCTCCCCTCTCGCTGTCTGCGTGCCCGTGAGGAGCGTAGTCACAGGGACTTGGTTTCCACGGCAGTTTGGGGGGAGGAATGTCCCCCCCCCCGGTTTGCTGGGTTGGGGGGTCTCCAGACCCACGGGGCCGAGGCTCTCTTGGCTCTGGCTGGCCGGGCCCGTGGCGGGGGCAGGGAGATGGGGCTCCCGAGCAAGGCTGCCGAGGGGAGGGGTGAGTGGTGGCCCCGGGCCTGCCGCCTGGGCTCTGGGTGTGTGTGGATTTGCCTCTGTGTCACTCCCTGGTAAGAAAAGCCCACGCCAGCTAAAGGCCACCCCTGCCCCTCGCCTGCCCCATCCCTGCGCGCTACAGAGAAGCGTGACCACCCCTGTCTCCGTGGCTCAACCCTCAGGGTGGGTTCCTCTGGTTCCTGAGAAACAGCTTTCTCCCTCAGCACCCCGACTCACCTCTCAGCACCCCGTCTCGGCGGAGCAGAGGTGGGCGGGGCCAGCGCTGCGCCTCCTTCCTCCATGGGGGGGTCTCCAAAGCCCAGGGCACACATCCAAGCTAGAGAGGTGTGCGGACTTCCCAACCCCGGGATCCAGGGGGTCCAGAGTCTCCCAAGCACCAGCGTTCTCCCCCTTCCACCAACTGCAGGCCACGGGCCCCTAGTGGGACCCAGAGCCGCCTGCCGTGCCTCCCCCATCAGGCAGCATGGCCTTGGTGACCAGTGCGGTGTCCAGAAGAAGATTCGTGGTCTGGCGAGGCTTGTCCCCTGTGAGGTGACAGAGGATGGGCCTGGAGGTCAGGAGCGAAGGTTCTGGTTTGATGGGTAGGGTGAGGCCCCCGTCCCAAGCCAAGGGCACCAGTCACCTGATAGTCAAAGATGAACCCCCCCACCCCACCCCCCGACCGGCCCCTCCTGGCCGCATTTCTCAGGCTCACCATTAGGAGTCCCTGGGCCACGCTTCTGGGCCTCTGGATCTGCACGTGGGGACAACTTGGGCCCTTCCCAGCCAGGGCTAAGAGGGGCCTTGAGGATTTCCCAGGCGTCAGCAGAGCACCTGTGCTCTGTGACCCAGGAGTTTCTGATGCCACTTCCTGAGTGAAACCTGAGTGGGGGGTAGGCGGAACCGCCCCATAGATCTGTGTCCCCCGTAAGTGGGGGCAGCCGGTCACAGCCGCTGGGAAATAGAGCAGGCGTCTGGCCTGGTGAGCAGAGCTTGAGGGGGGAGGATAATGGAGTCTCCCCCCCACCCCACCCCACCCCCAAAGACGCGAGTTTTGGCTTTTCAGGTTTTCCCAGATGCTGTGCTGGCGGAAGGGCTCGGCCTGGAGGGGGCAGTACCCTCCCTTCAAAGGGGCTGCCAGGTGCCGAGCCAACCAAGGTGGCCGCGGGGGCGGTCAGCCCAGCTGAGGGCGGGCTTGGGGCGAGAGGCTGGGTGCTCCTGAGGGGAGTTGAGCCCTGTATACCTTTTCCTATCTCAGAGCTCCTCCCAGCTAGTTTTCTCCCCTTCATTTTCAAATTGGAGGCAACACCAGGGCAAGCTTCACTGTCTCTCGTATCCTTTCCTTAGACCCTGGGAGGAAGCCACGGGGTGGGCCGTGGCCTTCAGCTTTGACGTCCACGGCCTCCTGTATGAAACCTGCTCTGTTGAGAAGGCGAGGCCCAGGCGGGGGAGCTGTTGGCCGAGCAGCCTGCTGTCCTTGGGGCCGATGGCACCAGGAGTGGCCCCGGGACAGAGGGAGAGGCCTGCGGCCTGGCCTGTGGCATCCGTGGCTGGGAGGGAGTTTGAGGCTCTTGGATCAAAGGTAGGGGGAGGAGGCCGGGAGTGAGGACAGTGTTGTGTGCTTGGCCACGCGTGCGTTGGGTCCTACACATCCGTGTGTGTGCGAGCACCTCCATGCAGCGCCCGGATCTGAGCACGGGCCTGGCTTGTTCAGTATTTTGAGGCCTCGGGAGCCTTGTCACCCGCGGGCCACACGGAGTAGGGGTGATGGTGCGTGGGTGGCAGGCCTCGCCCTCGGGACCGCCCCACGTCCCTTGACCTTGTTAAAGCTGCTCGGAGGGGGCGGAGGTGTCCCCAGCAGGGGCCCCAAGGGGCCAGCTCTTCAAAAGCATCCAGTCCTGAAGACAGTATTCACAGGGAGAGGGTTCAGGTGCGGGCGCCCCTCACCTGCTGGGGGTCCTCTGCAAAGAGCATCCAGTGAAGTTGGGAGACCAGGGTGGGGGATGAGGAACGGGCCAAATTTGGGTCCCAAGACAGAGGGCAAGCCCGGTGCATTTTCCTGTCCTCTGCCTCAGTTTACCTATCCAGAAAATGGTCCAGGAAGAACTGAGCAGGGCTGGCTCCCCAGCTGGGCGGGATGGGGTGGGGGGAGGGGGCGGACAACACCCAAAATCCCAAGTCCTCCTCTTGCTCCATGCCAAAATTATTTCCGTTATCCTGAGATGGGGGTGAGCGGATGTTGGGTGCATGATGGGGCTCTGAGGGGCCTCTGCCCTGCCCAGGGCCTCGCCTTGGGGGTCTGGCCCTCACCTGGCGCGCCCCGGGTCACCAGCAATGGCACTTACATCTGTCCCAAGCTCTGGGCAAGGGGGAGCACGGGCCACCTGATGCCCCGGGGCCCTCACGCTTCTCCCCTCTTTGTTGAAGACACACAAAACCCTCAAGATTCATGTACTGTATGGCGGAGAGAAAAAAAGTACCTAATGTTCCCCCAAAAAAGACAGTATATTTTGTACTTTGTAAAGTGTTAATTAAAACGGAAACAAAAATGGATGTTGGCTGACCAGTGTCTGATTTATCAGGGGCCGACCCGGGACCACATCTGCAGTCTTTCCTTTCCCTGAGCCGCGGTCGGGGTCGGGGGAGCTCAGGCTGGGGAGGGCTTGGAGGAAGGAGAGCAAGCCTTCCAGCCCAACACCCAGAGCCTGAGAGAAGAAACGCCCGCCCCAGAGTGAGAGGGGCTGTAATAGTTATCTGGTGCTGCGTAACAAGCTGCCCCCAAGCTTCACAGCTTTACAAATGACTGCGTGTGTGTCGCGGTTTACGTGGGTTAGGAATTCGGGAGCAGTTTGAGCAGTTCTGGCTCAGAGCCCCTCGTGAGGCTGCAACCATCTGAAGTCTTGGCCGAGACCGGAGGATCTACTTCCAAAGGCGGTTTATTCACCCTGGCTGTTGGCAGGAAGCCTGTTCCTCTCGGCGTGGGTCTCCCCGCGGGGTTGTTTCCTCGCCGTAGGGTGCCTGGCTTCCCCCAGAGCAAGGCATGCGAGGGCCAAGGTAGAAGCCAAAACGGTTTGGCCTCAGAATCCACACACCACCGCCCACCACCCTAAGCTGTGGCCATACAGCCCAGCTCTGATTTGACACAGGAGGAGACCACTCAAGGTCAAGGTCTCGGGCCATCTCGGAGACCGGCTACTGCACCCACCATTCCTCCCCAGACCTCTGGTAGAGGTGGGCCTGGGGCTCGGGGGGACCCATGGAGCAGGACAGAGCTCCTTCCCCAAGCCTGGAGCCCTGCTGTGGACATCACCCCACCCCCACCCCCCAGGAAGGGCTGCCTGGTTCTGGAAGCCCAGGAGCTGATGCCTCCAGACAGGACCCCCTGGCGGCGGGAGCGAGGGCACTTGCCCAGTGTCCCTCCACAAGCCTCTGGCGTCTGGCTGCTTGTCCTCTTGGCAGGTGGGCATTGGGGCTGCCCCAGCAAGAAGGAGGCCCTGGACCTCTGTGCTATTTTCTACGGAAGGCACGTGTGAGCAGGGCAGGGCTGAAGACCCGTGTCTGCACTTGGCCCCACCCCACCTCACCCCTGCCCCTGGAGACGGAAGGGGGTGAGCATGGGGCTGGAGCACTCTCCCACCACCCTGAGCCCCAGGAAGCTCTGCTGCTATGAAGGCTTTTCCCTCCGGATCTGCAGGCTGAGCGCCCTCGGGCCTTCGGACGACGCACTGGAGGCAGGACATCCATGGGGACTCAGGTGCCCGATGCCAGGAGGGACAGTGATGAGGGGACAGAAGCGGAGACACAGGGCAGAAGACAACTGTGGAGAGGGTCTGGCGTGGGGCAGACGCATTCCAGCCAGCCAGGGAGACCGAGTACTAAAAAGTACCCTGGTTGCTGTGTCCAAGATGGCGGTAGTTATTGGAGCTGAATCTTGGGTGGGAGGCTTAAAAATCACTCCTACCTTCAGCAGAGACCCTCCCCAGCACCATCACTTCCTGGCTTTGAACACCGCTGGTGGGACCCAGGAGGCATGACCTTGACCTTCTGGGGCACTCACACTCCGTAAATCAGTAGGTGCTCTGAGATGCCTATTGCACGGAGGATGGATTTCTGTTCTTCATCGCTGGGGTGACAGGGAACACGGCCCAGCCAGGAGTTTTAGGAAGGAAAATGACAAATCATTTTCAACTTTGACCTGGCTGGTTCCTGTGGCCTCAGCTCACAGCAAGGACTACTCAGTGACCGTTTCACTTTAAGATTTTTATTTAGAAAGAAAGCATGCGCGGGACGGGGGGGGGGGGGGGGCGGGCAGAGGGAGAGGGAGAGAATCCCAAGCAGGCTCCATGCCACCCAGCATGGAGCCCGACTCGGGGCTCGATCCCACAACCCTGAGGTCATGCCCTGAGCTGAGATCAAGAGTCAGATGCTTAACCAACTGAGCCACCCAGGCACCCCCTGAAGATTTTATTTTTAAGTCCTCTCTACACCCAATGTGGGACTCGAACCCACAACCCCGAGCTCCACCGACTGAGCCAGCCAGGCGCCCAGACCGTTCCACTTCCAACTGCTAAGCCCCCACATGGCCAGCCCCCTTCCCCGGCTTTATTTGTCTCCACGGCCCACCGAGCCATCTCCCATACTCTCTGTTTTGCTTGTCGGTTGTGTTTTGCCTCCTAGAACGTAAGCTTCGTGGGACCTGCTGACGGGGGTGTCGTCCCCGAGTGACCCAGTGTGATCCACAGTAGCTGGCACGGGGCGGGGGGGGGGGGGCACAGAGTATCTGTTGAGTGAATGAAGCAGAGACAGGGGGTGCAGCCAGGGAGTGAGATCCCGGTGGGTGACATGATTACCAGTTTATTTTTAGACTTCGTTATTTTCTCCCAACTGAACCGTGGGAGGAGAGAGACTGTGAAGACAAACCGTTTTCAAGCAGGACTGTCTTCTGAGTATCTGTCACTGGCTTCTAGCTGCCTCTTTATCAAAAGCCTTGTTTTTGCAAGCCAATCTCTAAATGATCAAGTAAGATTAAAAAAAAAAAAAAGACCTCTTCAGTGCTCAAAAATAAAAAGGCAGAAAATAGACTTTATTCTAAAAGAGATTTTTCAAAGACGTTTTTAAACGGAAGGCCAAGTTTATGTTACTACCTCAAATTGTTTTCCACAATTTCTCAATCTCTTCTCCGAGGCTGGCCCTCCAGCCAAGCTTTTGCGGGGGGTGTTCGGTGCGCAAGAACCTGGCCTCGCTCTAACTCCTGCAGGGGCTTCTCAGCCTGGCTCCCTCAGTCAGGCTGGGGCTTGCCCTGATGCCCACACGCCCACCATGAGCTCTGCTGTGGTCGGAGGCTTACAGAAGCCCACCCGGCCACTAGAGTCCGTCGGGCCACCTTTAAGAACAAACAAAATGGCATGCCGGAGAGCTAAGCTTCCCCCAGACCAGCTGCTCGGGTCAGTAATAGGGATCCCTCTCACTGGTGCTTGGCCTGATGAGGACAGCCATCCCGTGGTGAATGCAGCAGGTCTCACCCTCAGCCAGAGAGGGGCCCTGAGTCCCGGGACTTCCCGTCCGTTCTTGCTAAGGGCACTGACAGAGAGCATCACGCGTCACCAAGGGCCCGGATCCTCTCTGACCCCCAGCAAGAGCCCCGCCGGGGGCCTCTGCCAAGCAGTCCCAGTGGTTCTGAGGCCGGGTTCCGGGCTCAAGCGGGTCAGGGAGGGGCTTCAGACGAAAGACTTGGCCAGAGTCACCATGTGATCCACACCACACGCCACATCCACGGGCTCCCCAGGCATGGTCACCTGCAAAACAAGACCCAGCACAGCGTGAGGGGACATGGTTTGGAGGAGGCCCAACCTGGGCCTGAGCCTGGCTCTGCCTCTTGGTGGGTGACTTAACTCCCCCAGAGATGGGGATGCTTCCACCCAGCCGGCAGGGCAGTTCCGATGAGCACGCAAACAGTCACCCCAGCATCCCACCCAGCCAATGGCAGACATGACTCTTCCTACCCACCCATTGGAGAGGCTGCTGGAGCCCGCAGCTCCCCCAGAGGCTACTCCCCCCTGTGCACGACCCCGCCAGAGGTCAACACCTGCTCCCAAGGCAGGAGCTCAGTGACCTTTCCTCGGGGTCACCCCCAGGGCTGCCTGGAGCGCAAGAAACCCCTGCTCTGGGAAGGAGGCCCCCGGCCGGCACCTTCAGCCGCGTGCACCATCAGCCTCAGCTCCGGGCCGGCTGTTTCCCGAACGATGTGCACCCTCGAGGACGGAGGTCTATTGTGTCGCAGAGGGGGCCACAGGCCCTGCGGGCAGTCCTGCCAACAGCGCCCACCCATGGGAGCAGCCCTAAGGCCGATGTAGAGGCTCCGGCTGGCCTTTAAAATGACTCTCGCTGCCGAACAGGCTGGCCCTGGAGACGGCCGCCCCAGCCGGCCCCAGGTGTGCCCACAACACCAGGACTTCCACGTCCCCAGAGCCCGGCCGGTTCTCCAGAGGAGGGGTGCTTGTCTTCCTCTGGTTAGACTATTACTATCGTTATTTTCAATAGGTAAGACCCTCTCATGGCTACATCAATTAAAAGATATTAAATCCCTTTTTTTCTTCTGATTTTATTTTTAAGTAATCTCTACACCCACTGTGGGGCTCGAACTCACAGCCCCGAGATCAAGAGTCATGCGCTCCGCCCACTGAGCCGGGCAGGCGCCCCGGTATTAGGTACCTTTTAACCCCCCCACCGTCGGCATCTGCCCCTGTATTCCCACCTTCCCTCTGAACTGGAAACCCCTTCTAACTGGTTTCCACTCTCCCTCCCGAGGTTCCTTACGCAAGCACCAGCAGCACAGGCGAGAACCGTGTTTCTCAGAGGGCAGCTTGTAAGTCACTAATCCTGCCGGGCCGAACGCTCGGACCCTTGCAGGATGCTGACACTGCTGTTCAGTCCGTGCAGATCCCAACTCGGCCACCCCCCCCTGGTGGCCCCGCTCTGCCAGGCAGCGGGAGAGCTGGAACGGGCATCTGTCACAGCCTGTGGACGTAGTGAGCGGGCCGGGAGCGGGGCCTCATCCAGACGGTCTGGCCTGACCACCACGGACGGCGGCGGTGACCCCAGACCCCGGGGCCTGCAGCGCGGGGAGACAAGTCCGTTAAGGGCTCTGGGCCACCGGGCAAATGGATGCTGGCGAGTGAGCCGTGCTGCCTGCCCCTCTGTCCCTAAACCAACGTGCTTAGCGACGCCTATCACAGAAATCGCGGAACAAACGCGCAGCAGTGGCCCCCGGTTCCTTGCCAAGGCCTGGAGGTGCAGGAAGCGTTCCAGGCTGGCCACGGAAGCAGCAGGAAACGCACCGCTCTGTGGTGACGGGCCCAGGTGAACTCCTAGCAACCTCCCCGGGCCATTAGAGCGCGCGATCTTGACCTTCCTGGGGAGACTGCTGCCCGCGGCGCTCCCCAGGCCCCACGCTGCGGCACTTAAGCACCCCTGTCCTCGTCCCCGAGTGCTCTGGCCATGAGAGCCCCAGCAGAGTAACCACCTGGCCCTGGTTGGCGGGCCGGGAGGATGGT